GGAATCGCATTTTAGTTTTTTACAAATATGAAGTTTTTTTGTTTTTTCGAGGGAAATTTTCGCACCTGATCTTAAGGTCCAGTCATCAATTTCTTTCAGAATATTTCTTAAAATTTTATTTGACTCGCTATTGTTCTTTTCGTTGCACAGTATAAATAAATCGTCGGCATAGATACAGTGGTTAACAAGCTTGTGTTTCTGTATTATAGTGCTTATTTCGTTAAACGCGATTGAAAAGAGGAGTACTGAAAGCGGTGATCCTTGGGGAATACCATTCGTTAAAGGATATAATTTGGAGTAAATACCGTTTACCCTGACTCGGATTTTTCTATTTTGGAGGAATGATTTTACAAAATTTAAGATCTTGGGTCCAACTCCCCACTGATGTAGCTTCTCTAGAATGACGTGAGCTCCTATTCTGTCGAAGGCTTTTTCGAAGTCTAGTGATAATATTGAAATGTGGTTATGGGCTGATAGCGTTTTTGCCACATTGTAGTCGATGTGTGGCAGGGCATCCGTACATCCTCTTCCTGGTCGAAAACCGACCTGGTTGGATGAGATGAGCCTTTTTGCCTCTATAAACCAGACTAGACGTGTCGCGACTATTTTCTCTACTAATTTCGACAGGCACGAAATTAGCGAGATGGGTCTGTAGGATCCGAGAAGGTTGAGGTCTTTCTGAGGTTTTGGCATAGGGATGATGGTTGCCGCTTTCCAGTTGTGGGGAATAATGCCTGATTGGAAAATATTATTGTACAGTGTCAAAAGTCTCGTTTTTGTGGATAAGTTCAAGTGTTTAATCATGCTGTATGAGATGCGATCAAAACCTGGTGTTTTTCCTTTAGTACTTTTTAGGGTGGAATACATTTCATCCATGGAAATATGCACTTCCATTTTCAATGCTGTTGGATTAGTTGTTTGGTTTGGCGCTATATTTGATTTTTTTGCATGGTTGAATTGATTAGGAAAATTGTTGTCGTTCGAGCATTGAGACCAGTTGTGAGCAAAGAGGTGGGCTATATTGTTCGCGTTTCCGTTGTTGTTCCTTGTGGTGTTTGAATTGCTGCTATTGACGTTTGTGTATTTTGATTTGTTAGCCTCCGCACTTTGTTCCATAATTCCTGCGATGATGAGTTTATGTTTATGCTTTTTGCAAAATTTTCGAAGCTAGATTTTTTGTTTGCTTCATTTCCCTGCGGAAGATAGCATTACGTTTTTTGTATTCAAGAAGATTCTGTTCTGTTGGAGATTTTCGAAAAAGATGACATGCTGTCATTTTTTGGTTGCGGAGATTTGCTAAAGTCTGGTTCCACCAGGGGACATGGGTTCTGGTCTTCTGAGAGGATTAAGGGATCCAAAGGTTGGCTGCTACACGAATTGCCTTTGTAATATTATTTGCTTCTTGATTAATGTTTACAGAAATCGGTCTCTCCGAAAGTTCCTCTTCGACGGATTGACTGAATTTTGCCCAATCAGCAAAGTTGAGTAGAAATTTCTTTTCAGTGTGGTGTTTTTCGGTGTTGTGTGTCA